GATCAACCAGTAAATTGACAGTTTCACTTTCATGCTCACAACAGGCTAGAACAGCATCCATCTCACTCCATCTGTCAATCTCACGCTCTGCTCTCACTTGTCACCCCCAAGGTACTTAAAGTCTTCTGTTAGGTCTATACTTGTAGACCTCGCTGACTCAGAGACTTATTCCCGTGAACAAAGCAAGACAGAGCTCGATCCATTTTAACTTGCAAGGGGAACCGATCGGACCAGGGTCTTGGAGCTGCGAGCTCCTCACCTGATCCCAGACGACTCCAAACTCCAGCCCCCTCTCGCAGCTCTTTTATTAACTCAGTGGTCACACAAACATCTCATCAATCCTGCAACAGATAAAACACTGACATGTGAACATGTGTTGTGTGTGTCTATGATGTGGTGTGATCAGTGATATGTGTGTCTGTGTAGGAAACAGGTGAGCATCCATGCTAAACATCTAATCATCTTGCACAATGACGATCATATTGATCCACAATTCTCTAACTTCTTCCACTGGGGGAAAAAAACTCATCAACAACCTGGAATGGGCACTTCACTCTTTCTAGCTGATAACAGTGGTTGGACCTCCTGATTCCCATCCTGGGTGCTTCACACTTGCCGGCAAACCAGTCTAGTGCAAGCTGGAGGTCCCTGCCTGATAAGGCCACAACCAGAACAGAAACCACATTGCTCCTGCTGAGTCTGAGGTGCAACTAACAAATGGATCCCTCTGCTGCACCCTGGCATAGCCCTTCCAAGAAGGCTGAAAAGTGTGAGCCCTTGGAAATCAGAGCACATGCTCCAGTCCCCTTTCTTGGAAAGGGGTACCACCACACTCATCTGCCAGTCCGGTCACAGGCGTTGTGACCAACTTCCATGTGATACTGAAGAGACATCTGGCTTCATGGACACATAAAGCTGGGTATCACCTGCACAATGAAAATGTATGCTATGCCTTTTATTGATATTGCCTAAGGGAAGCATGTATAATGTAAACAGAGCAGGAAAACTATTTCTGTGATGATAAACAATCACAAACATAGAAAACATTTAATTTAATCTTTCAAAGCAGAAAAACAAACACTGCAGTTTTTAGCTCTTTCTACACCGTAAATTTCCAATCCTGGCTCGATAAACAATCATGATTGTTTGAATGCTTCTACTCTCACATCAGTTAACAGTAACAATGTTTCATCAAACTAAAAGGATTATCTTCAACTTTTGATTTTGAAGTTAGCGCGTGGGTAACTTCCTGAAACTTTACGAGTCACTCAGAGGACTGAAAGCGGTGCTCTCTAGCACTGACCTGTGATATCTAGTTTTATTGTAACTGAGGAGATTGTATATGTATTTTATTGTATTGTAAGCATACAATACTTTTTATAACTACTACTGTGAATTGCATTTCTTATGACTATCCATCCATTTTGTTTCGCTTATCCAGTGGCGATTAGAGGAACAGCAGCCTAAGCACAGAAGCCCAGACCTCATGTCTGGGGGAACATCAAGCCGTTCTCTGACCTGAGGCCTCCTCCCATTGGGAACACCTCACCAAGGGGGCATCCTTGGCAGATGCCCGGACCATCTCAGCTGCCACCTTTTAATTTGGAGGAGTAGCAGCTCTACTCTGAGCCCCTTTCAGATGGTTGAACTCCTCGCCCTAAGGGAGAGGCCAGCCACCCTTTGGAGAAAGCTCATTTCCGCTGTTTGTGTCTGCAATTTTGTTCTTTCGGTCACTACCCAGAGTTCGTCACCGTAGGTGAGGGTAGGAACATAGCTCGACTGGTAAATCAAGAGCTATGCTTGTACGTTCAGCTCTCTCTTCATTACGATGGGCTGGTACAGAGTCTGCATCACTGCAGCTAAGCACCAATACATCTGTCGATCTCCTGCTCCCCTCACTCATGAATAAGACCTCAACATATTTAAACTCCTCCACTTGGGGCAGCAACTCATCCTTGACCTGGTGTGAGCACTCCACTCTGGATGAGGACTCAAACTTGGAGGTGCTGATTCTCATTCTGCCACTTCACATTTAGCTGTGAACCACTCCAGTGTGAGCTGGAGGCCACCACCTAATGAAGCCAACAGAAACACATGATCTGTGAAAAGCAGAGATGAGAATCTGAGATGATCCAAGTAGAAGCCAAGCCCCACTTGGCTAAAAGTACAAATTCTGTTGTCTTCAATAAAAATGAACTGAAATAGTGACAAAGGGCAGCCCTGACGGAGCGAAACTTATTGCTGACAATGTGAACCAAGCTCTTGCAACAGTTGAATAAAAATGCAATGGCTTGTAGCAACAGGCCGAACACCCCATACTGCTGAAGTACTGCCAGTAGAATTCTCTGACATGTAGACTGGTTGGGCAAAGTCCCAAATATCTTAGACTGGATAAAGAGCTGGTCCTGTGTTTCACAACCAGGACAAATACCACATTGTTTCTCCTGAACCCTAGGTTTGACTAACAGACAGACTCACCCCCCCTGTACCCTGCTATAGAGAGGCTCCTGGAGAGGCTGAGGAATGTGATTCCCCTATAGTTGGAGCACACCCTTCAGTCCTCCTTCTTGAAGATGAGAACCACATCCCCAGTCTGCAAATCCAGAGGTACCACCCTAGATATCCATGCTACATTGTAGAGGAATGTCAACCAGCAACAGCCTGGTTTAACTGCCTCAGTGACAACACCCCCAGTGACGAATGAGCCGCCCCCTTATCCCCTTGTCCTGCTGCAGAAGATGTGTCAGTGGGATTAAGAAGGTCCTCAAAGTATTCCTTCCACCGCCCGACAACATCCTCAGTTGAGGTCAGCAGCACTACACCTGCACTATACACAGTGTAGCTATGACTGTCTACAAGGGCTAGGTGCATACTCTGTTCAATGTAAGCATGGTTAGCTTTAAAAAAAAAAGAAGAAGAAGATTTGAGTAAGATAAACATAACTTAGCTCATTTTTCATTAAGTTGCTCCAGTGCAGGGGTAGGCAACTCCAGGCCTCGAGTGCCAGTGTCCTGGAGGTTTTAGATGTGTCCATGATCCATCACAGCTGATTTAAAGGGCGAAATGACTCCTCAGCATTTCTTGAAGTTCTCCAGAGGCCTGCTAATGAACTAATCATGTGATTCAGGTTGTTGACCCAGGGTGCGATCTAAAACCTGCAGGACACCAGCACTCGAGGCCCAGAGTTGCCTACCCCTGCTCCAGTGTATTTCAGTGTGTTCTGTCTGATGTTTCATTGTAAAATATCACTCAGCAGTGACTCCATGACACACAAGCACCTCCACTCAGTGACCATGGGATGTTTCTTTTTAGATTGAGCACTGACGCATATTTATTGTATTCTTAATTATGGTGTTTCATGGGAATTACCACACCAGACTTTGAATGTTGTCAAAATCAAGTGTCTTTTATGTGACCCTGGCTCATTAGTCAATGTGTACTTTAAGTCTTCCTTATATGCATTATTTTTATTTTAGGCTACCTTTTTAACAACTGGTAAGGAGCAAGACATTAAAAGATGAAATGTTGCCCTTACAGTGCTTTCTGCTTACTAGGTCAGTGAGAACTCTCCATGTAAAGTAAACATTGGCTTTGCCCTGTCCATGTTTCTGTCCTTGTCAGTTGGTTTTGTTTAATGCTACATTTTTTTAAGCAGCTTTAAAATAGTGTTCTTCCAACTTTGTTGCCACAGTATGTGGACGGTTTGAGTGGGAGGCAAACCTCCCACGTTGGGAATCCCGTGAGCATGGACCGCAACGTACTGCAGATGCTGCTGAGTTAACAGCTGGATCTGTCCATGGTGCTGAAAACGTGTTCAGGCCTCCGGATGTTTCTATCCTGGTTTCTATCAGCTGCATACTTTTAGTTACACTGAGAGGAACATGTTTGCTCTTCATGGCTGATTTAGGAGAGTCTTTGTGTTGTAACTGCGCTCAAATGATAAGGAAACTGCCGAGAGACGGAAAACAGCAAAGAGAGGGAGAGTCGAGGGGGTTGGGGGAGATGATGTCATAGTTTTTAGTCGGTGCCAAGCAGATGGCTGCAGCCGTCCTCCTGTCGCTTAGCTCCAGCTCCCATCTCCATCCCAAACATCAGCCTGGGCTCCAGTGAGTTACCAGCGCTGGAAACGGAAGCCGTTCAGAAGGACACAAAGCGGAAACGTCCTCGTGTGCGCCGTATGTGAGCGAATGATCCTCGAAGCATAGGGCCGGTCCACATCTGACATGGACGAAAATACTGGACCAAGCGCGGCGCTTCTTCTCTTCACGTTTGTCTTCATTCTGTATTATGACCAGACGACCGTGTGGACGAGCTAGTCCTGCCCAGAAAGGAGGAGGCGGAGTAGGAGACACACGCACAAGGGTGTCGACGGCAGGAGCAGAGGAGAAAAGGCGGGGAGCAGCGGGGGGAAATAGACTAGCTAATAAATCAAGATACTGATAATGGCTGCTAAATCGGACGGGGTCCTGAAGATGAAGAAGAGCGACGTGGCCTTCACCCCTCTGCAGAACTCGGAGCACTCTGGCTCGGTGCAGGGACTCCACCCGGGCGGCCAGCTGGACTCTGCGGGCACCGGGGACGGGGATTTTGCCAACGGGGAGTCGCGGTGCTGCGGTGCGGGAGGCTCAAACTCGGCGTGCCTTCGTCTGGGGAAAGGGCAGCAGAAATATACGGTGTGGGACTGCTTGTGGATCGTAGCCGCCGTGGCCGTTTATCTGGCCGATGTGGGCACCGATGTGTGGCTGTCGGTCGACTACTACCTCCGCCACGACTACTGGTGGTTCGGCCCGACGCTCTTTTTCGTTGTGTTGGGCTCCTTCTCGGTCCAGCTCTTTAGCTTCAGATGGTTCGTCCACGACTTCAGCACCGAGGACGGTGCCGATTCTGTCACCGACTGCTCCCTCGTGGATGGGAATAAATTGCTCAGCGGCTCGGCCTCGCACGGTGATGTTACTGCTCAACACCACCCGGCCACGCCGCAGAGGCAGGCGTCGACCGCCAGCAAGAACACCACCACTAACAGCACGGCGAGCACCGCGCTGGGGAACAGGAATAGGAAACGCTCGGCCTACTACTCCTTCTGTGTTTGGTTCGGCCAGTCCGTCATTCACATCATGCAGCTGGGCCAGATATGGAGGTAGGACGGAGGCCTTGGGCTGGCGTGCAAATGTATGTGTTTAAAATATTTAAATGACAGAGCAGAGGGCTGCTTTTAGGAACAGCTGCCATCTTTAGGTTATTCCCTCCACACACACACACACACACATGTTCCTGTGTTTACCTCCCACCCTGCGTTAAAAACACAGGAAACTAGCCCAGGCCTCCCAGTCACAAAGGTAGTGGTGCCTTTGTGGTACAACATAAAATGTTGTGGCTCCTTTCTGTTGTCCTTTAAAACAAATATAGATATATAACGACCAGACGCCACAATATTAGCGAGAAAGCACCATCAATCACACAAGTCCCTATGAGCAAGCTTTTGGCAACGGTAGGTAGGAAGAACTCTCCTTTCATAGGAAGAAACCTCCTGCAAAACCAGGACAGGGAGGGAGGGGTTTCCATATACAACAATCAGCTATAGAAGAGAAAACTGGAGCATAGAGAAGGGAAACAGACTGTTGATGCTGGCAACATTTTACATATTTTAAACAAGAAATAATTAATACTAACTAAATAAAAAAGTAAATAAAACAGAAATAAGAAAAACTTTGATTGCAAAGAAAGTCTGCGATCAGCTGTTCCTGTCCATGAGAGAGTTCACACCAATAAGATACACGCATGGAAGGAAGATTTTGAAATGTAGTAGAAGTACGACTGCTGCAGAAGCAGATTGGAAATCAGAAGCTAAGAACAGCTAAATCCAAATAAGAGTAAATGATACCTTGAACAAATTAACATTCTTACAATTGCATAAAACCATCTTTTGCAGGTAATCCTGTAAAGATGTGGGACACGTGTTAAAAGCGTAGGTCAGCTCACAGGGTCAGCAGGTTTGAGTCCAAGCTCAAGTCTTTGCTGTGTGTCTTTCTCCCATTTCATCGTCCACTCTCCACGACTACACTATCTACTAAAGGCAAAAGGCTGGAAGAAAAGACCGCTGTAATATACGTTCACAGTTTGAACTAAACTGAATCTGTTGTACACGTTCTAAGGTTTGCACCTGTAGACCTGAAGGAAGAAGGTGTTTTGGCACTTTAATCACCTCTGACCAACTTTATTCCCATTAACATTTTTCCCTCCTTTATTCCTCTGGAAAAGCAGAGAGATTCAAACGATGCAGATTTACAAAATGTGCAACTTGTGAATTGGTTTATGCATTTTCAGCTCAGATTGAAGGATATATAAGTATATAGTTTGCAGCATAACTATGCTGCAATAGGCGTAGGCTGCTGGGGATTCCCATGATGCATTGAGTTTTTCCTTTCCAGTCACCTTTCTCACTCACTATGTGTTAACAGACCTCTCTGCATTGAATCAGTATTATTGTAGGGTCGACCTTACAATAGAAAGCGCCTTGAGGCGACTGTTGTTGTGATTTGCTGCTGTATAAATAACATTGAATTGAATTGAATGTTTGTCCGTTTGTGAGGCTCTTTGCCTTCTTCCTGACACCAGTCAGAGGAACACCTTAAAATCTGGACAAATCATTTGTTGAGGTTGTTTGGTGTTTGTTTATTCACAGTGGATTCTAAGTAACCTAACTGACAAATATCTACAACGACAAAGGAAGAAAGAATTCTTTCTTTAAAATCGTGAACTATTATACTGGCCTTGTCAGAAAAGGCCCTGTTCCATGGTGAGATTGCTCTCTCTGTGTTTGTGCAGAGCAGAGCTGAGCCCTTACTTACAGATCTTTGATGCATAGCTAGGCTAATGCATCTGTTTTGTATTGGAAAAGTAACCACAAAGGAAAGGTTATATTTTGGACACACTTTTGGATATCAGTTCTCTTTGTTTTGTTTTGTTTTTTGCAATCCTTGACCCAAACTTTCAGGTTAAAATGAACATAAAGTTCCTTTTGAAAATGTGTGAATCTTTTATTTGAAAAAAATCATGCAGTCCGGTTTGTTTGAAGGCGGCCGTTTCTGTGCCAGACCCATAAAGACGATTAGCATTACAACGTAAAATGTGAAGGACAGACACAGGGCTGTAAGGCCAAATCTCACACAGGGTTTGGACTTTGTGTTGTTTGATATACAAACAGTTTGTGGGACTTTATCATTTTCAACGTCTGTTGGAAAAGAACAAATTCAGAAAGAATTACTGTGACTTACATGAATCCTTATGTAGAGAGTATATTAGCCTGTCATTAGAAACACAATGGTAACTTTAGATGGGAGGACCTAAGGTGTTATTCACCATCCAATAACTTTATAAATAGTGCACACACAGAGGTCCTTAAGGTAAGATAGAGCCTGATTCTTCAAGAGCTTTAAATGCAGAGATAATTCTGGATTTAACAGGGAGCCAATATAAGAGATATATGCTCTGTCTTTATAGTCCCTGTTGGTTCTAACTGCAGCATTTTGAATCAGTCGAAGGCTTTCGGGGAGTTTTTATTTAATAATGAATTACAATAGTCTAGCCTAGAAGTAATAAATGCGTAAATTAATTTTTCAGCTTCACTGTGAGAGGACACGTTTCTGATTTTAGTGAGCTTGAACAAATGCCAGGAAGCAGTCCTGCATATTTGTTTAACGTGTGCATTGAGTGTCTAGTTAGACACCGAGTACAATAACCTGAGTTTTATCTCAATTTAGAAGCAGGAAATCAGAGGTCATCCAAGTTTAACTCATTGTGTTGTCCTGTGAAACACCCAGGACCATGACATATCTGACTTCATGGATAGATAAGATTAAATGCTATGCCTTTTAATAACACTGCCAAAGGGAAGCATATATATTGTAGCATAGAACTCTGTGGAATGCCATAATAAACCTGTCTGTGTGAAGAGGACTCCCTGTTTACGTGAACAGATTTGAATGTATTATGTAGAGTTTAAAGCTCGACCACCTGAGCTACAACCAGCCGCAGCTCAGGTGGTCGAGCAGGTCACCTACTAATGATTCCCCATCTCATCCAGTCTGCATTAGAGATGGCACGATACCACTTTTTTATGTCCGATACCGATATCACAAGTTTAAATAAACAACAACACT